GCTATATTATAGTACAGTATAGTCAAAAGTTTGGACACACTTCCCATTCGTGTGTCCAAACTTTTGACTGGTACTGTATATAGAATACAGTATATAGTAGGGGTGCTCCGATTGATCGGCTACCGATCACTATCAGACGATAATCGCGTTGGGATGTTTGATCGGCAATCTCTAAAAAGGCCAATCTCAAGCTGATGACGCGCCTGCTGTGAGAGGTTTGGCCATCGTCTCAGTCTCTGTCCGGCGCGGGTGAAATAATTATAATGCTGAAGGTGATGTACAATAGGGCTGTCAAAATGGCTGAAAAACTAAATTCGAATCTTGTGCTTAAAACCACTCGTTCCTGTCATCTTACCTATATGTAATCCTACCATGTTTAGTATCTATGAATTCGCCTTCTGATGATCTAAACGAGCGTGTATATTATATGTTGGTACATAGGCAATATATTAGTGTCCTGAGAATCTTTAGTAATTTCGATTCAAGTTCCATATGCAAATTACCATGCTTCCACACAAAGGGTCATAAACTCCCCAGTATTTCCATACTCCCACTTGGGATTCCGGCCTTTCTCATTGGACAAGCCCATCTTGAGAGGCGTGAATCTTCTCAGACCTTAAAGGCCTCACATCAGTGACCCGCCTTCAGTCTGCGGTTCTGTTCGATTCTGAGAAGATGAGGATGTGAGCTAGAACGCTCCTAAGGACACCCTAAGTTTGCGCCAGGCTTCGGCTTTGACTTTCCATTCACCGGGATTCTCTGACTCAAACTGGTTCTTTTTCATCAACCAACTTCAGCAAAGATCAACTTGAACCTTCAGATTGGATCAAACCTCTCTTTCAGACAGACGAGACGTGCAAGTATCAACTTAGTCTTATTAATTGATACATTAAGTATCATTTGCGCCTTTTTACAAAGGTGTGTTTGAACTAAGAATCTGATGTTTCCTTCAGGCGGTAGATCTGCTGAATATGCAAATGGTTCCATAACTTCATTCCTTATTTCTCTCCTCTTTACTGCTTAAGCTTTAACCCTTTTCCTATACCAACTGTATGCGTGTGTGTGTGTATATGTTAGATTAGTTTAAGTGTTTATGTAGTTAATAAAGTCTTACTTGTATCACACTTGACGTTGTTCATTGTTTGCTCATAGCTGGAGTCCCTAATCATGCAGATTTATGCTACATGCTCTGTGTAGTATTGTACAGTAAGAAAGTTATTTTCCTTAACCAGGAAATTAACGTTCTTAGAATTAACAGACAGTTGACACTGAGAGGTCAAATGAATGCTTACAGCGGATCTAAATATTTATAATTAATTATAACTAGTTATGATTAATTATTCATATTTCCCCTTTGAGCTGATTCGCTACAACATTATAATGTAATGACACTTACATCGTCATCGCATCTCGTGCGTCACTGATAAGGCAGCCACCTTAATGCACACCTAAAATTCGAATGCAACGGTTTTGCATTCGAACGTAGATTTTTATTTTAAATTCGACAAATATTCGAAATTCGATTTTTTTTTTGACAGCCCTAATTAGAGGTCGGACCAATTAGACCGATGTTTGGTTATTGGCAAAAATCCATGCCGATAGTTTTCCGGGTTGCGTCCGTTGCTGGAACGGCTGAGAAGGGTCTGCTGTCATTATACAGTACGAGAACGGCCTCTATGAATGCGATTGGCTAGCGTCTGCACCAGGGTATTTGCATAAGGCGATCTGATTGGCTGACACCTGCGTTGGTGCTTGAAAAGTTGAAAAGTTCTCAACTTCTGCCACGAGCAACGGACCCAATGCGACACGACGGACCCACGATCGGCAATGTTTGACGTCACTCCATTCAAAGTAAACGAGAGGCGTTGACGCCGACGCCCCGTGTGAACTTTTCAAGCGCCAATGCAGGCGTCAGCCAATCAGATCGCCTTATGCAACTGCTCTGGTGCAGACGCTAGCCAATCGCGTTCATGCAACACCAGAAAACTAATGTGATTGGCTGTTGTCACTATGACGGTCGCGTCAGCACCAAGCTTCAGAAACGCCCTCC